CTGGCCATTCCAAAAAGCCACAGGTAAACGGTGAAGCTGCTTCCCAAAATGGGATTTTCCCCAAATGGGCCCATTTTTTCCCAAAGTGGGCCAAGCAGAATCCCTAAGACTTTGTTTCTCTATATTCCAGTGCCTTAGAGCACTTGTCTGTGTGTATATGGGGCTTTGGGGCTCAAGTCTCTTCACAGTTTTTCTACTGCTAGCAAGATCTTGCAGCCAGACTGAGTTTGCATCAGGCAAGCAAAGGGAGTTGCTGTACAGACACGTGAGCAAGGTTTAATTTAGCAAGTAGGAAGATACCAGCTCTGTAGCAGAACAACAGCTCTGTTCCTCACAGCCAGTTCCTGCASCGCACGTGTGCTCCCAACACACTCCCCTGCCTGGGTCTAGGCCTCTGCTCTCCCGCTCTGGCTCAAACCTTCCTGTTTTTTGCTCTCCTGCTCAGGATCTACATATCTAGTGAAGAAGGAAGCTCTGTGGTCCCAAACCACTGAATTCATCAAGTTGCAAAGTCTTGGGATCAAGCCCTTTTTCTGCTTTTCCCCTAGTTATTTGGTCCCATGCCAATTCACAGGCCAAGCTGGAGCGGCAGCAGCCTTCCCGCACGTCCTCTCCCATGTCCACGGAGCAAAGCCTAGGGCCAGAACTACCCATAAGTCTGAATCTCACTGTGCAAGGAGACCCAGTGCATCCCATAAGACAGAACTGTGATTAAATGCATTATTGACTCTGATTATGTGTATCAAAAATCAGTCTGAACAAACAGCTATTTGACTGCACCACATATTCCCGGATATGCAACTCCATCAATGTCCAATCCAGTGCCCATAATAAGAAATACACATATGAATAGACACATTAAATAACGGGCCTGAGAAACTACACAACACCAAATACCRCCTCTCTAGAGGCAACTACATGTCAGCTCGAGACCTTACATGACCACCAGAGTGTCATGCAGGGCTGGCCATGGTGCCCGGCAGCGCACAGTGCGGCGACGAGCCCGGCACGGTGACTGCTCAGCAAGCAGGAGCAAAAGAGGCTAGGCAGAAAAAAAAAGTAAAAAATGATGCAAACCAAAAATTTWAAAATTAATTTCTTAGGGTAATTGAATGGCTTGGTTCTTTTCCAATGAACTGTACTTCTGGTACTTGCCCATTCATACCTTGCCAAAGGGTATGAAAGCAAAGAAKGCGTTTTTATATTTAAGTGTGGTTATTTTTTAACTGGTTAAGAACTGGATTTCATCCTTATTATTGATATCACAACACAGTAGTATTAACGTTGATCTGAGCTATAGAACGCTGCCCTTAGCCCCGTCTGCTGCTAAGCAGGACTCCATCTGCCACGTCCTATGTGTGAGCCAGAGTCATGCTCAGGAGCTGATACTGCTCCTTAAAAGGACACCCAGTGCGTGTCCCAAACTCCCTGGGCTCCCGGGAACCGGCARCCATTGGCATTGGTGAGGAGAGGAGAGAGGCTGCGAGGATGAGGATGATGGAGCCACTCAGCGCTCAAGCACCCTCGGCAAAGAGCCGCCCAGCTGCTGGGTTCCCCTGCTCGGAGCTGCCTCTCCTGCTCATCTGCCCCCTCCACCATTCTACTTCTTGCAATGGACAAAAACAGCCTGGCCGRTGTCAATCAAAGAATCTCTTTATTCAGAAATGTCCTATTCTTCGCAGCTCTTCTGTGGTGGAGAAAGAAGGTGGTGATCAGCCCCATTTGTCTGCATAACTGCTCTTGTTACTGTACAATGCTCGGGTCAGAGGCTAACAGGTTTTATTTATTTATAACCTTCCTACAGTGCTCTGAATTTTCCTGCTCCTTAGCCTGTAACAAAGGTGAAGATGCCATTTGGCTCCACACTGCAGAAAGGCAGCTGGAAGCCTCCGCAAATTCTCTGAAACGAAATCCCTTACCCCTAACCAAACAGACTGCGCTGTCGAGGGGCGCGAGGGACACTCCACATCCCTCCATCCCTCGCCCGAGGTGCGAAAGGTACTTCTAGGAAAAAGAGAGACCAAGCTTATTTAGCTGCTTCTTCTTTTTCCTTTTCCTTTTCCTTTTCCTTTTCCTTTTCCTTTTCCTTTTCCTTTTCCTTTTCCTTTTCCTTTTCCTTTTCCTTTTCTTTTTCTTGGAAAATGCACTTACTTCTGATACGATATGCATGGCATAATATATATGAAACACGAAAATCTATTTGATTTCAAGGTGATCTCCGAAACCTGAAATTAGCTCCATCAAAAACTACTCCACTGTAACTGCTTCTTTCATACCTTGTTTTCCAAAACTGAAACAAAACAAAACCACCCCTCTTATATTGCCATGTCCATGTAGTTTGATTTTTTATCTCCCTCAAAAGAAATAAAATATATATTTTTGTCTTTCTGGGAAGAATTCTGTTTATTTTCACAAAGGTGATGCATAGGTAACACATTTTGCTTTCTTGTTACCTTTCTTTGGATAAGCAAAACAACCACCATGTGTAACACACTTGTTGCCTTAGGCAAATTAACATTTCTATTCTTAAATGCCTCAAGGGTTTACAAACAGTAGTGCAAAGTGGAGCTGTTTGCTTCAGTTTCTGTTGTCCTGCTGGCAGCATGAGTGGAAACTGCTGCACTGCTTTTTACTATAAAAATAGATTTTGCTCAAGTTGGTTTGTTTATTTAAATCAGATGCATTTATTTTCAGGTTAAATATATATTTTTATATATTTTATTTAAAGTGGGATGATTTAAAATGAAGCATGAAATGAGGGTTATGTTCTGCCAAGCTTCTTAAATTTTGACATCTGATTTACATTAAGGACCAGGCATGATTCCTGTATCATGTACCCACTGGTACCATTTTACTAAACATCAAACCACCATTGATCTGCTGAATTGCTAGGTCCAGGTTTGACAGCTTCAGCTTCCTCTGCAGGGGCACAGAAGGTATTTTCTTCAACACCTTGAATAAAGATTCAAGTTAGCTCTGTTCAACATCAAGCTCGTGAAAAGCTGTATCCTGAGAACTGTGAAGAGCAGAGAGGTTATTTTCCACTGCAGGTAAAAGCCACCTGACAGAGGCTGAAATCTGTGGGGTCACSGCAAACAGAAACAAACAAGTCATCTTTAGCCACTGCAAAGAACGGTTGTTTTCCTTAAAATATCCCCATCATAAGGGAAATTTAAATGCTTTCTTATGCATCTCTTGTATTGAGTGCAATTTTAATCAACACTCAGTTCCCATCCAGGACTGTCTTGGCGTAAGCAGTAAATAAAACAAATAAGCAYCTAGTAAATGTGAGATGTTATTCACCAGTCTCTAACGTAACAAAAAGTTAAAAGCTAGGAACATGGGTAAATAACGAGATTTTCTATAATGGCTTAAATGCAATTTAGCATAGCTCCATCTTAACAAACAGAAGTACCTAATTTAAGTCAAAATAATCCAGTATATCATCGTCTTGCAACAGTGAAATAGAACCAATCCCAGCACTCAAGGATTTTTTCCTCCATCACCCTTTTGAGCATGAGAATTATGCTGCCAATCAATATTGCAAGCAAGAAGAATATAAAGGAAAAGGAAATTACCCATGCTTATTTGGGTGATAATGCACTTGCCAGTCTAGATTAACAGAAAAAAAAAAGCTCATCCCACTTCTTTATTATTTACTGCTAYACTTCAGCAGAAAACCAAAATACCTTAATTACAACAACTGAGAGGAATCAACCCTTTTTCAGGAATCTAATTAAAAAGCAAATACACAAAAGAAGGACAGACCAATGATTTCAATTACSTTTTTTTGCTTGTTTTCCCCCATAGTAAGGGCCATCAAATCATCTCTCAAGCTTTTTTTTAGAAAGCTAAAGYAGACTGAGCTCTTCAAATATATTACAGACATGCTCTTCAGACTGCKAATAACTCCACGGCTCTCTCCTCAGCCTCTCCAGTTTCAACATCCTTGCTTAAGACAGGGGCATCAAAACACAATTTCAGTCTCACCAAGGCCAAACTTCCCGCCAAATTAACAACTCTCAATTAATGTAATTGAGTATCACACTAGAGCTGCTTACCTTTGGTGATTCCTGATGTCTCCCCCTCACAAGATAGGGCTCTTCAGAGCACATTTCCAATCCCTCTTAACGGGGCTTGCACTTTTCAGCCTTAAATTTCRTATTTTGCTTTATTTAGATGGGCTGAGGTTATCAAGCAACCGAGGTTGCCTGTTAGTGCAGCTGGTCTGGACTCTTCACGTCACCTGCAGATCACACTGACAGCAAGATCTGCCTGGTTCCAGGTCCGACAAGCTTCTTTTCCCATTTYCCAGCCAATGCACAACAGAGTCCAGGAAACACAGCAAGAATGGCAGAAGAACAATGCCCAGGAACTTTTCCAAGGCTTCAGTTCCCTATTAAAAGTTTACCTGAGGAGTAATATTCTAAGATACACAAACAGGAGGTGTTCCCTCTCCATCTGTAGCACTGTTCTCTTTAAAATGTATAGGATTTTCTGAGATGTGAAGTAGGAATATATAGTGAGGGCCCTGGATCTGGAGAAGTTCGTCGCAAGATCTCACTTTGGGATCCATGGGGACCCTGGCAAACTTTAGGGTCCCACTGACCCAACCGAGAACCCCCTGCAGGAGGGTCCCATGAGCTTTCTCTTACTGATGGTACAAAAACACAACTGCAAAAGCATGAACGTTTCCTAATCCCGATGCAACAAGTTCTTGTGATAAGAACAGAGCTTAAACTGTGTGATGCCACCAGAAGACAAAAATGCCAAACACATTCAGGAATTTGACATTATAAACTGGCAAAATGAGGTAATCCAGTGCTTCACCACAGCTCTATCTGTAGCAACCGATGAGAGGTTTCAGCCTAGCTGGGAAATGAGAGATTAAGAACCTCTCTTAACACTACTCAGTTTGCACTCGTTCTGTTCACCTGGCCAGGAAGATGAATATGGCAATCTCTGCAGTAAATACCGGGAACCAAGGAAGCAAAACTTACTTGTGAGATGACCAGTAATATTTAAAAAAGCCCTTGCTGTCAGTCAGTCTGTGGTTGCAGGGAAGAAATCTAAAGATGCTGAGTATGCTCTGAAAATGAGAAAAAATAAGATCTTAGTAATTATATCAGCTCTCAAATTCTATAATAAAACTCATCCAAACTAACTTGCTTCCCCCCTCCCTTTTTGTATGTGTGTTATTTAGCCTTAATCTGCAACAAAGCAATGTTTCCATTTCTTCTCTTTCACCTGCTAGCAGCACTGAAACTGGAAAGGAAATAAAAGTCCAAAGCAAACTCTAAGGAGTTTAAGGAATATGCAGTGAAAATTAGTAAGGAAGGGAACTTTTTTTCTGAGAGAAAACTGACACAGGACAGAAACTATATTAACAGGAAACCTTCAAAAAACCCCGAGGTTCTGCTTGGTATTGCTGCCACAGACATGAAAACAAGATCTTACACTAACAAGAAGTCAAACGGCCTCATTAGTACATCCCATGAAAAGGAAGTACTGAACACCCGACTCAAAAGAAACCCCTTGCTTGTGATATGATACTGAGTTCTCTTTGGCCCACAACGGCATTTTTAAGAATAATACACTGCAGTTATAAGACAGCAAGTGTTTAAAAGTCAGAGATGAGAATGGCTCACTTATAGCATTATTCTGTCAGCACTTCTTTTGGAAACAGCTATTTTAAGTTCCTTCACAGCCAGCTTATAACAGTCCTGAAGGGATTTCATTCCCGATTTCATTAAGCTCCCAAGCCCTGACTTGGCAACCACTGTAACGGTAATGGTACCATAAATAAATAAATAAATAAACAAACAAACAAATAAATAAATAAATGGAGGGCTATGCATCTCTCCTTGTTTTTGAAGACTACCAGGTTGAAACCTCCATTCTGCATTGGTTTGGATTCCTTTGTTTCAGGCCACAAGATCCCGAATGTTGGCACCATTAGTCCAGCTCCCTCAGACAGAACTCACTGAACGAACTCTTTCCTGAAGGATTTTCTTATTAGAATTAATGTTCTGTTAAAATGATCACCAATCCACTAAAAAGATGGGCTCCATGGGAAACATTCCCACCGCCTCACATAAAGCAATGTGGGAAGTCTCTGGTTTAACAAAACCCGGAACAAAACACAATTGAAAGTAATGCTGAGYGAATACTAAACTCTACTAGGAATCATCATGTTTACAATGTAACCCSCTCCTGCAGTTTAGCCTTGCTTTCATGGCTAAATAGCTAAGGTCTCCTGCCTGCACCCTGGGAAATCTATGAACACACAGTGAAATTAACTGTTGCTTGGCAAAGAGGTCTTGGAAACAGCTTTATGAACATGCTATCTAAATCCTTAACACCTGCCATAAAGGAAGAGGGACATAGAGAAATATCAAAAGAAAACAGAATAGGGCAGGGAAAAAAAAATCATGTTGCCCTATAAATCCATTGCTCACCTCATATCTTGAACACTGAATATAGTTCCAGTCATCCCACGCCAAAAAGAATAGAGCAGCAATAGAAAAAATAAAGCAAAAGGTGACAGGATGATCAGAGGTTTGTAACAGTTGCTGAAGGAGGAGAGGAAAAAGTAGGACTTGGCTATTGGAAAAGGGACAACTGCGGGAATGGGCTGTGACAGACCCCTGTGAAATTATGAGCAGCATCGAACAAATGAGGAAGGAATATCAGTATCTTTCATGACACAGGAAGTGGCGGAGAGTTCCCAACGAAATGAGCAGGTGGCAAGGTAAACAAAGGAAAAAGGAAAAAAGATGATTCCTCAATGATCATAATAAAATCGTGGAAGTTGCTGCCACCGGCTGCAGGGGGTCACACAGGCATGGATGGGGTTCAGAAAGCAACCTTGCTTATTTGCTAAGAATTAGTCTCATTTTATCACCGGGATAAATGAAAGTGGTAACTCCGCATACTCYGCACACACGGATTCCTCTGGAAAACCTCTCTCTCTTCCTCCTTCATCAGTAAGACTAAACAGTTGAAGATCCCTCGCTACACAAGTGCTGTCATCAAGCTCGTCCATAGACACGGGAGTTTTTGTTTATTGGTCATATTAATATTAGTTAGGAGCTGCAAGCCAAGCTTGAGGCTCCTAAAACCCTCCCAGCCTAAAGCCTGCCTGCCTGCACTATTTGAACTGAAATTGGTAGGTAAGCTGCTTCACGGATACTTCTCTGTCAATCTGAAATTGCGTATTTGGACTAAATTTAAGCCACTTCCTAAGGGCCTGGTCCAAAAACAGAAACTGAGCAGAAGAGATATTGTGCAATATGCTGCACTGGAAGAGGCACTGCTCTCCAAATTCACAGTCTGCTGAAATACTGAAAGAGCTGCCATGTAGAAAAATGGCAGCCATTCAAAACTGAAACAAATGAGGCATTTCTGCATCATTTTCTTCGCCACTATCCTAAATTAACATGAAATGSCTATTCTGGCCAAACCAAAAGCCTTTCTTAGGCAGGCATATGCTCCTCTCTGAACRGGAAGTTCTTTTAGTGTAAATTAGAAGAATGCACCCTGCTGGTACAGATCCATGCGGTTTCCAGCCCAAAATGTGGTCATGTTGATGCTGGTGTTTCTGCCTGGAGCGTCGTGCTGGTCCAGGGGAAACCATCACATCCCCTGACCGGCCGACAAAGGCCCCAGTAAAAGCCTGAGGGGACAGGCACCTGCAAAACCCTTTTCAGGTAATGCCCATCAGGGCGGTTTGACTTTCCCGATAAAAGGCGGAACAGCGGGCTTAACTAAGCCTGGTTCGGGAAGGCTTTGCTAGTGTAACCCGGTACAGCCATGCTCATGAGTCAGTCAGGAAAGCTCTTCCACTTCCCATGTGGCCACAAGAGGCCACGGGCTCTCCCAGCAGGTCGTGTCCCAGAGCTCAGCTTAAGAATAAAACTCGGCAGTGCTGAGAGACGCCCAGTCCCTCGGGCCCCTGGAGGGAAAATGAGCTGCTTATGACTGCCTGCAAAGGAAGGCTTAGCCTACTGGCCGTGCTAGTCCTCTCCTGCCAGTCTCACCCACGCCACTGCACTTAATCTTGGCCAAAAAAAGCATCTTTTCCCTCTGCAGTTGCTACCAAGTCCTCAGATGAAATGAACTATACTGTGGTTATGGGGCTCCCTTGCTGGTGTGGGAAGCAACCTGCAGCCTTCTTCGGGCACTAGGCTGCTGGCACAAAAGCACCGCACTAAATGTGCCCCAAACGCTGCTGCAGCACCCACAGCTTCTGGCATAGGCCTGGCCTTGCTCCTTGCGGCTCAGACTCTTAAGGATGAGGAAATGCCTGCTAAAAGATGCTCGGGAAGATAAGACTAATCACAGAAAATGTGAAATGAATGGGAATGCAGCCCTGCATTCCTCCTACCATCCACCGCAGCTGGTTTGCAAAGACRCAGCCCTATTCCCTGCCTGTCCATGAGCAGATTTCTCCTGACGTATCCGCTAATTGAGCACAGAGTTATTTGGACAAAGCATTTAAGCCTGTGGGCTGCTTGCAAGCAGTTTACTATTGGCTATGGATTGTGAATAGTTGTTTTGGCTTCGGCATGATGGCCCTTACGGCGTGGGAAGAATAATGACACCGTCCATGGGCGGTCACCTCATGGTGGTAACAGCCCTTCTGCCTACCGAGCAGCTCAAACAGGCTTCTCAAAAAGGCACACAAGAAGAAGCAATGGCTGCAGAACAACCAGTGACTAGCACTGGTTTGCACCTGGGAGTGCTTTGCAGGCAGCRCCTCCTCACACCTTTACGGATTTCCGAATACTCCTTGAAAGGAGCAGGAATGCCATCAACCAAGTAACTACTTCAATCTGCAAACGCCCAATTTTCTACCAGATTTTGTCGCAATAGTGATCATGTGTAAAAAATTGAGTTTGCTGWGACCATCATGTAATCTTTAAAACAAGGTAAGTTGTTTCACTGAAGAACTTTTGAGCAAAAACACTACAGAAAAYCAGCTGTGATTACTTATTTTATACTTTATACTTTTTATACTTTATGTTTTGACACCCCCCTGGAATTATTTAATTTGCTTTAGATTTGATCCGTATAAGCATGGCTTTGGCTTCCAGCTTTCCTTAAAACCTCCGTGCCATGGGAAACGATGCYGTGTGCTGGGGCCAATGCATTTTTCCTGCGCTTGCAGCACCCCACAGAGCACATCTCCGTCCCCCGGGCCTCCGGCACAAGGGATGCGCCGTTGAGAAGGCAGGAAAGGCAGAGTCCTCCAGAGAGRGGATGCAGGGAGGCCGCCTTGAGGCCCTCCCACTGCTGCTGCCTTTGGTGAGACACATAACTCCACAGCCCAGCTGTGACAGCAGGGGAATAAGGCCTCTCATGGCCCGCCAGCCATCTCCTCCCTAACTCAATGCTGACCACTCGGCTGGGCCCAAGCGTCCACAAAACATGGGGCTTTTTGGAGCCCGCTATGCTGGAGGAATCTGGCTTGGCACGAGCTCTTCCTCCACTTGAGTGGGCTCCAAGATCAGGAAACGTGAGAGCGATCGTAACCAGTAGGCACTGTGTTACCTCAGCAAAGGGCAAACTGGGTTCCCGATGAAGGTTATGCCGAAGGAACATGAAGCTACCCCCGTCAATGGAGGAGGGTGGCAAAGGGGTGGGTGGTCAGCACTTATCCCTGCTGGATAAGCACGGCGTGATGCCTGGGGAGCTCTGCTACTGCGGGGGACAGGCACACGGCCAAGGAGTCAACCTGCTCTCTGGGGAGCAGCCATCGGCCAACGAAGGGCAGAAACAGGGAAACTCTGTGAGACTGAGTCTAGTGTGCCACCTCACCTTACAAAATACGAGTGCACTTACTTTGCTCCATTGCTCTGTGCTAAATATTAAGCATTTCCAGGGAGCTGCAGTTTTCAAAATACTTTACTAGGTGGAAAGGAGTATTAGCAGTGCTGTAGAGAGGGAGCAGAGGTACGAGGAGGTTGCACCACAGCTGGCAGTGACAGTGCTCCATCTGGAAACAGCATCCAGGGCAGCTATCTCCAGCGCTGTGTGACCTCCACCCCTGCAGGCGGGCTCACACCAAGGGCACAGAGCTCCTGGGAG